TAGACACTCAAGCAAATGTTCCCCAGTGTCCTGACCTTCAAACATCCTCCATTGACCTGGATCAGCACAATGGTGCTCAGTCATGAAATCATGAACCTAAAAATGATGGCCTTACAAGCTGACCTGGTGGTTTTTATTGAAATTGTCCTATATGTAGACCCAGATAGAATTAAATATGCTTTAAAAACAAGAGAAAAGAAAGCCCAGCTGGTAAACCTCCTGTTCCTTGACAGGGGAAATAGGACTGAGCAGCCATCTGGGCACTGCAGGGCACATGCCCACACTCCCTTCTTCTAGTTCCCTTACTGGAGTGCACAGGGATGTGGCATTTACAACCAAATACATGGAGACATTTTCTCAGGAAGCCGAGAACAGCGTGGCCTGGGATAAGATGGAAGAGGGAGAAAAAAATACTTCTTTGAGCTCAGACTGTCTCTACCCATTAGATTCATTCTCATGGACCTGCAACATAGCTCAGGCATCATGGAAGAGTTTAATGTAAAAAACACATTATGTAAATCAGAATAATCATCTATTCCAATCATGGCAAATGGTTTTGGCAATAGGGAAGACAGCATCATTACTGGCAGGCAATATAAGGATTCTAAGTTTATCAAATGGCAGGGATCAGCAAGGACAGAGTAGCCAGCAAGGGCCTGGAATGGGTTTGATTGTAGATCCTGGTGATAGGGCACTGTTTAAAGAGTTTGAGAGAAGAGGAAGACACTGTAGCCTGGGAAACTTGGGGAGCAAATATGAAGAAGCCCAATCCCTGAGATTATAGAGATGCCTCTGAGGTAGCTTGGAGGTGATGGTACACTTGTGCATGACCATGGCCATGGTCCTGCATTAGACAGGTTGAAAAGATGCAGAGGTTACCCAATTGCAGCAAGAGAGATGTGAAAACTGCATACATATATACTAGAGGCCCAGTGTATGAAATTTGTGCATGGTGTGTGTGTGTGTGTGTGTGTGTGTGTGTGTGTGTGTGTGTGTCCCTCAGCCTCGACCTGCACCCTCTTCAATCTGGGAGCCCTCAGGGGATGTCCTACTGATGGCTTAGGCCCACTCCCCGTGGTTCTCTGCTCTCTGTGGGGCCTGCCTGCTCCACACTGCAGCGACTGCCAAGCAGGCCCTGCTGGGAGCTGCCTGTGGGCCGCGCTTGCCTGCTCCCGGGTCTCCAGCAATGGCCAAGCAGGCCCTGCCGGGAGCTGCCTCCTCCCTTCTGTCAGTCTCCACGGAGGTGATAAGGTTAATTTGCATACTCACTTCTGATTGGCTGGTGGGCATTGCAAAGGTATGGTCAATTTGCATCTGTCTCATATATATAATGTTAGGGCCAGGAAATAGATAAAGAGCTCACCTTCCAAGAACATTTTTGAGAAGTATGGTTATCTTTGGCCAGTTTTTGGCCCTGATTTTCTTGACTGTCTTTCAAAAAATCTGCATCCTTGTTACTCACCTTCTGTTCCTGTCTCCACTGTGTATCCTTCTTACAAAAGAGTTCCTCTTCATGGGACTCTGCATCCCTTTTCTTTAAAAGGCCTTTTTTATCCTGCCTCCTGTAGGGATACCTGAGCTCTCTTTACATTTATCTTTCAATGGAGCCAAGTCTCTGTCCGTCCCATTGGGATGAGCGATTGTTATGCATTAATAATTAACCTTTACAAGGAGCTCTCATCTTCCTAGGCATTTAGCCCAATGCAGAGAAAGCCAAAGTTTGGTTATGACAGAGAGATCTCACATTCTGGGGCATAATAGTGGTGGTTAGAAAGAAGAAGCTGCCAGTCATTAAACTTTTATTTTCTGGTTCACTCACTGGAGAGATTGCTAAGGATTCTATAGTCTCCCCTTTGCACATGGTCAGTCCAGGACAGGAAAAATAGGAAATTCAGCTGTTGAACTTGGGAGTTGGACATGCATGACTTTCCACATAAGGTTAAAGATGAGCATCATGAGAGCTGCTAGTGGGATCTCAATTGGAGTGTTTACAGCGATAAAGCATATGGATTCTGGAGTCCAACTCCATGGATTCAAGTTCGGTTCTGCCACTTACCAGCTGTGTGACTGTGAACTGGTTCCTTAACTATTCTCTGTGTTACTGCATCAGTAAACTGGGGGAATGATGAGGATATTTCAAATGGGTGTAGTAAGCATCTAATGGCTTCAGATCCTTGGCCTAGTGCCTGGTAGAAGGTGCTCAGGAAATATGAATATCATTATTATTTTCAGTGTTATTGACTATGGTTAGGCCCATGGTCAAGGTCATTTGATAGGTGAGACGTTTTTTATTCTTTGACATTAGTTACATATTAAAAGGCAGACAGCTCTGCTTGAATCTCTCCTGGTGATAGGGAAGACAAGGGAAACAGTTCTATAGCTGGATGTTAGGGATTAAGTGATAGCTACTGGGATGACTCAACCAATTAACTTATCACTGAGATGGATTCTCAGACTATTTTCAACCTTTAACTTTTGTTATTTTACTGAAAATGGACATGATAGTACAATCTTCTCTGATCTTTCTTTGGAAAGGATGAAATCAGATGAATAACAGATACAACCACCACCCACAAAATAGCTGAGATTTTTATACCATTACTACATGCCATTTCTAAGTGCTTTACATGTATTAATTTATTTCATACTTATAAAGTCATTTACTCCTATGTTCCCATTTTCACAGGAGAAAACAGATTTAGATAAATTTGAAAACTTTGCCAAGATCACATAGCTTGTAAGTAGTGGGTGTGGGATTTGAATGTAAATTTAAATCTGGATCTTAGAATTTGAATGAGATAATGTACAGGACAGAGCACAGAGGTTGGCATAATCAGTGCTCTAATGCTGGCCCCTTTACCTTCCAATATTTTTCTCTGTTTATTATATGCATGTGGACATTGCTTAGAGATCAGAGGTCTAGGGCACTGATCCATCCCAGGATACTGCGTCAAAATTCAGTTTTAGTAACAGCAAAATCTCTTTGAAACTCTGATTTGGAGGAATAAAATCATACCCTGCTTTTATGTGGATTATACCAGGTTTAGAAAGTCATAATATATATTTTTTTATATTTTAAGGTGTTTCATCCCCTCAATATATATATTTATACTTGAGGCTTGGTGCACGAAATTTGTGCACTCGGCGGGGGGGTGGGGAGCCCTCACCCTGGATTGTGAGAGAGCACAGGCCAGGCCAAGGGACCCCACTGGTGCACAATCAGGGCCAGGGAGGGACGTGGGAGGTTGGCCAGCCAGGGAGGGACCATGAGAGGGCTCCAGGTTGTGTCCAACCCATCTCGCTCAGTCCTGATTGGCCAGACCCCAGCAGCAAGCTAGCCTACCGGTCGATTGTCTGTCCTGTGGTGGTCAGTGCACGTCATAGCGAGCAGTTGAGCAGCCTTAGCATATCATTAGCATATTACACTTTGATTGGTTGAATGGCCAACTAGACGAGTGGACACTTTGCATATTAGGCTTTTATTATATAGGCTGGTCACCTGCAGAGGGAGGCGACCAGCAGTGGGGGGTGGGGAGGTGGGACTGGCAAGTGGATGGTGCCAGGCCAGCCAAGGTGGGTGCCAGTGGGGGCCCCCCAATCACCTCGCCAGTCGCCCCACAGATCGGCCCTGATTGCTGGTCAGGCCTAGGGACCCTACCTGTGCATAAATTTTGTGCACCGGGCCTCTAGTATATATCTATACTAATAAAAGCCTAGGTGTTCCTCGTGCGTGATGTCATCACAAGATGGCTGCTACAAGATGAACACCACAAGATGGCTGCCACAAGATGGCCACATGTAGAGTGGAGGTGGGGCCCAGAGTCTCTGCCACCTCGCACAGAGGAGGCAGGTTCCAGCCGAGGAGGCAGATCATGGCAGGGGAGGGCAGTTGGGGGCGATCAGCCTGGCAAGGGAGGGCAGTTGTGGGCAATTGGACTGCAGGGGTGGGTGATTGTGGGTGATCGGGCTAGCAGGGGAGGGCAATTGGGGGTGATTGGGCCAACAGAGGAGGGCAGTTGGGGGCAATCAGGCAGGCAGGCAGGCAAGTGGTTAGGAGCCAACCGTCCCAGATTGTGAGAGGGATGTCTAACTGCCAGTTTAGGCTCGATCCCTGAGGGGTCCAAGTTTGGAGAGGGTGCAGGCCAGGCTGAGGTACAGCCCCCTCCCATGCACAAATTTCAATCACCTGGCCCCTAGTATATATATAAAGAGCACACACAATGTGCAAAGAAATGTAGATCTCCTTCCCCACCATCTCTTAATAATCATTTTCTTTAAGCAGTACAGCTAAATGGTTTAAAAAAATCAAATATAAAAGGCTATTGTGAAAAGTAAGTCTCCCTCCCACACCTGAATATTAATCTGAAAAATCCATTCCCTAGTGACAATTTTATAGTTTGTGTTTTCTTCCAAAGATGTTTTATGCATTATGAGTATATATACCTATAACACTCCCCAACATGCACAGTTTACACAATGATAGCATAATGCATGCTCTGATCTGTTCCTTGCTAATTTCACTTAACAATATTACTTGGAGAGCATCCACATCAAAATTGGGAGCACTACCTGATTTCTAAGGGCTGCTTAATATTCCATCATAAGGATGTGCCAGTCTATTATTGATAGTCATTTAGGTTGTTTTTGGTCTTTTACTAAGGACACGTCAGTAAATATCTTTGTGTGCACATAATTGTATCTGTACATTCAATACCTGTTGACTTCTTCTTGTAAGCTTATATTGCATAACTTTATGACAGTACAAATATTGACCAGAAGCAGACAAAAGGGATAGAATGGAAATATAGCTTATTCAGAACTTGTGTATGTCCTAGAGGTCTTTTTGGTGCTTTTACCAATGCTGGGTTTCACGTTTCTCATGTTTCAGACTATTGTGTCCTGCAGCCTCTTCGTGGGCCTTTTGCCTGGGTGCCCAGGGAGTGATGGATGGTTACTGTTTGCAAGATTGATTCATATGGCACTTGTTTGGCTTTTGACAGGTTGTTTATAAGAATAATGACATCCGTCTGGAGCTGTCTCGCCTGGCCCGGATTGGGGATACCAAGATGAAAATCTATGGGGAAGTTGTATTCAAGTGTGAGAATGTGGCCACACTGGACCCCATCAACTTCGAGACCCCAGAGGCTTATATAAGTTTGCCCAAATGGAACACCAAACGCATGGGTTCCATCTCCTTTGACTTCCGTACCACCGAGCCAAATGGCCTGATCCTCTTCACTCATGGCAAGCCCCAAGAGAGGAAGGATGTTCGGAGCCAGAAGAACACCAAGGTGGACTTCTTTGCCGTGGAACTCCTTGATGGCAATCTGTATCTGCTGCTGGACATGGGCTCTGGCACCATTAAAGTGAAAGCCACTCAGAAGAAGGCCAATGATGGGGAATGGTACCATGTGGACATTCAGCGAGATGGCAGATCAGGTAGGAAGAGTTGGGGTATGTCATTGAGACCTAAGGAAAGCTTCGGTTTCTTAGTTTATTTTCTGACTTTATATTTTTATTGTAATTTTTGCACTTGCATGCTTGTGGATTCTTTTGCTGCTCTCTTTAATGGTTATTGTAAGATTATGCTTTGGAACAAGACACCTGCCTCTTCAAAGGCTCGCATTTTCCTCTCATCTCCCCTGTCACTTATTGCACAATCATCTTAGTGATACTGTCAAGAACCTGAAGCTAAGAATGAGTTTTCAAGGAGCATTTCCACAGCTACCAAAGCAGCTGTCATGTCACTGGTGTGATAGTTCTCCTACCTCTTCTTCTCCTTTTTCTCATCACCATGGAAACCAATTGTGACATCACAGGTGCTGCATTACATGATAACTCTGTAGGGTAAGCTTCACTGTGTAAAGATTTATGCAACAATCCACCCCCAACAACTGACAAAAGTCATGTTTCAGGGAAAAATTATGACAAGAAAAGAAAAGGCAAATCGATTTTTCCTGAAGTCATGTTCAATTTAAAGCCTTCCTTTGGTGTAAAAGTCTATATTTCACTTTTGCTCAGACCTCACTAACTCTCCCTTCCTCTTCATAACCTTTTACATTTGGTTTAAATGGCTTTGTTTGTTTCTGCAGCCGCAGATCAAACAAGCTAGCCCTAGGCAGTACATAGCCACTCTGGAATAGTAACAGAAAGAGAGAGGAGAAAAAAAACAACAAACCCCCCAAAACCCCAAACAAAAAAACAATACAAACAGAGAGTCTGGAGTTTTTGAATGCCGAACAGCCTGTCCAGCTTTCTATGGACCATGTGGCAACGTAGGTCATATTCTTTGCCATCAGAAGGGGCATTTTGCCTGGAGTGCTAATTAGAGCATTTGAATTTCACACTTATTTCCTGATTTTCTATTTAGGTGGTATTATATTTGAGAAGGGTCTTGGCTATATTTGCCATAGTTTTTAAGTATTCACTCCAGACATGTCATTTGTACATTGTCTTTCTAGGTGCATTTGGCTAACAAAAGAAAGTAATAGGTCCCCCCTAAAAGGCTATAAGCCAGGAATGGCTGAGCTTTGAGAATATGGCTTTTCGGCATAATTTCAGAGCTAGAGGGTGATAGTGTGGAGCAATGCTGCCCCTAGGAGGAGCTGGATGGGTTCTGTGGGGAGGGCAGACGGGTGGCAGATTGCAGCTCTAGATGGTTTATTGCCCAGTAGGATGCTTTATTGATTGTCTGAAGTCTGATCAGAACCAGGAGGCATCAAATTAAATGTGCTTTTTGAGCAGGAATGAACAGTGTGTGCTTTTTTAACAGAAAAATACACAAAAAATTAATTTATTTGGAGGCTGAATTTTTCTCTCTTTTTCTCTCTCTCAGTTTATCCTTAAACTGTCAGCAGGGGCAGAGCCAGAAAGCTGTCCCAGAATTATAAAGGAGATACTCCTGTTGGTTTTTAAAACCATGCATTTTGGGTCTCTGGAGTTGGGTCAGGGTTTATGGGTTTCATGATTGACTAACTCAGACCCTGACAATGCTTAAAGGTTACCTGTCTGTGTCACAGGCAGAACACTTAAAATTGTCATATGTCTATTTCTGTTTATTCCAAACACTAACTACTTTTTAAAGTATAGTATTTTTTGTTTTGTTAGAACCACCAGTGGGCCCATCTTTTTCAAATAGGTTTGAATTACAGAAGCCTTGAATTTCATACCTGGGATCTATAGCATTGGCCAGTACTTGAAATACCTATAAAGGTCACCAAATCCGATAAAAATTTACTGGGTTGAAAAATAATTGTCCTGTAAAAGCAATGTAACATAAAATTTTAATATGACCTATTCAACTTCATTTCTTTATGGGGATATTTTCTAGTATGTTGTTCTTAGTTATAAACCTATACTGAAATGAATAGTTGTAAAAACATTAGTGTATCTAAGTGTGGTGCCTCCTTCCTGCTCATCCTGAAGAATAACATGACTGAGAGGTGATCTACAGAAACTTTTATTTCACTTAGTGTAATAACCTCTAGATCCACGTCCATTCATGTTGTCTCAAATGACAATATTTTATTCTTTTTCATGGCCAAGTAATATTCCATTATATATATGTATCAGACCTTCTTAATCCAATCATCTACTGATGGCATGTAGGTTGCTTCCATATCTTGGCTATTATAAATAATGAAGGGATTAAGAAGTACAAATTGGTAGTCACAAAATAGTCATGGGGATGTAAAGCATAACATAGGAAATATAGTCAATGATATTGTAATACCTACATATGGTGCCAGGTGGGTATTAAGCTTACTGGGGAATCACTTCATAAATTATATAAGTGTCTAACCACTATGCTGTAAACCTGAAATTAATATAAAATTATATTTAATATAAACTGTAATTGACAAATAAATAAAATAAATTAGAAATAAAAAGAAAAACTTTTATGATCACTCCCCCATTGGGCAACAGATTCTTAAAACTTGAGAAATGCATTTAAAACAGCTGTGGTTACACTCAGAGAATAGGTTTGCCTCAGGGTGTCTTTAAAGCTCCCATATTTAAATTTGTCCTGGTTCTTGTCTTATTTGGCAGTAGATGTTCCTGCCTTCTAGCTGGTAATCAGAGTAGCTCTGTAGAGGGCAAAGAAGGTAGATTGTACAAGAGAGAAGAAGGAGACACAAACTTCAGCTTCCTCATTTGTGAGATAGTAACTCCTAGCTCACACAATTTTTTTTAAGGGTCAAGTCCAGGAAAGCACATAAAGTAATTAAAATGGTGACCAGGGCATTAGCATTGTTATACAGGTATTTGTTTGTGGTTGTTTTTTTTTTTGTTTTTTTAAAAGATTAAAAACCAGATTTTTCTCTAGGAGAAACTTCTAGGGGAGAGTAGGGGAAGCAGAGGCCCTTTATGCTCTTTCTACTCTTCTACCCCGTGCTGGCTTTGTAATATAGAGTGTCTTTTACATTCTTGATCTCATCTTATCTCCTCAGCCCTCAGGCTAGCCCCTTCATAGCTGAGGGAATTGAGATTCAGACAGAAGCAAAAAAGGCTAGCTGATGGATGCCATGATCCAATTAACTTGGTACCAGTGAAGTACTTTAAGAATACTAGATATTTTTTTTAAATGTATGGCATGATGTTTAGATATCACTTTGATTTTTCTTGATTTTACACTCTAGGATACTGAGCTTAAGGTCATTTTCCCCATTGAGGACTAGAATCCATGTTCCCAAGTTCCCAGGTCAGGCTCTAGATTTGCATCTTCTGTAATATCAGGCACCCAGTCTCTCCCTGACCTCACCTCTTATTTCCTCCTTGTTGCCTTCTCCACTCTAGCCACACCCCTGCCTACCCTAGGGCCTTTGTACATGCCACTTCTTCTGCCAGGTGTGTTCTTCCTCCTCAACATTTGTGTTCAGCTCACCTGGCATATTCTTAGAGAGACTGTCACAAAACCCATTTTACTCTCTTCTTAGCACCTGCCATTAGCTAATTTCTCTTGTTTTTTTGGGGGGAGTGACTTGTCTATTTTCTGTCCCCCTGCCCTGAAGCATCAGCTCTATGAGAGCATGGACATGCTTTGTCAAGTTCATCTCTATGCATAGCACTGTACCAGAGACAGAAGAGGTGTTCAATATATATTTGTTAAATGAATAAATAAACATGTTCCAGTTAAAATTTATCGAAGACAATATCCAAAATATTCACTGGCAGGCCTGGTAGCTAATGCCAGTGTAGAGGGTATCTGTGCATGGAGGGTTCCATCCTTCTGGGCGTGCTGAGCCAGTTTCCTTACTCCCTCACTCTGTCCCAGGCACAGAGTAAGAACTCTTAATATATTTGAGCTCATTTAACCATTACACCCACCTGTGCAGTGGGGACAATTATGCCTGCATGTTATAGATGAGGAAATTGAGGCCCAGGAAGGTTAAGAAGTTTCTTTAAGGTTACAGTTAATTGTACATGGTAGAGCGGGATTGCAACACAGACGGGAAATGTGCTGCTTTCATTCATATGGTATGCAATGTCTCAGCCAGGACTTTTAGGTAGAAAAAAAGACATCATCCTAGATACTAGGCCATTGGGATTGTCCTGGTGCCTCCTATGGGCCAGGGTGTTTTACCTGGCAGATATTGAAACTCCATTACCTACATTGTGGTTTCTGCTACCTTGTAGCATTTGGTTCCCTTGCTTGCATTGCTCTCTCCTGGTCAGGCAACACTAGTCTCAGGACTCACCTACTGGGCTCCTTTCATTTGGTTCATCGACTGGCAGCCTCACCTATGATGCCAAAGAGCTGGGAGCTCACTGTCTTCTCTCCTCCCATCCCAGGTACCATATCAGTGAACAGCAGGCGCACGCCTTTCACCGCCAGTGGGGAGAGCGAGATCCTGGACCTGGAGGGGGACATGTACCTGGGAGGGCTGCCAGAGAACCGCGCTGGCCTCATCCTCCCCACTGAGCTCTGGACCGCCATGCTCAACTACGGCTACGTGGGCTGCATCCGTGACCTGTTCATTGACGGGCGCAGCAAGAACATCCGGCAGCTGGCGGAGATGCAGAACGCCGCGGGCGTCAAGTCCTCCTGTTCACGGATGAGCGCTAAGCAGTGTGACAGCTACCCCTGTAAGAACAATGCTGTGTGCAAGGACGGCTGGAACCGCTTCATCTGCGACTGTACAGGCACTGGCTACTGGGGAAGAACCTGCGAAAGGGGTGAGTAGGCCGCCGTGGCAGGCATGCTGGGTCCTGGTGGGTGGGACTACTACAGGTGTGCCTTCGGAGAGACCTATGCTTTCTTTGCTACCATAGATGGTACCTTTGGACCTACCTGTGCTTTCTTCTAGAGGAGTTTTCTTAGATTCACTGCTGTCCAGGTGGCGCCCTTTCTAGTTCTGGATGCTTGGATTTTTTTTTTTTTTTGACTAGGGTTGGGTTGCAGAAAGGGAAAGTTAAGGATAAGCATTATCATGATCATGATACCATTTTTGATTAGCAGAGATCTTTTATTTAGAGAGGGTGAATCCTTGTCTTCTGGGATTCTGGATGGACTAACCAACGTGTTTTATTTATTCATTGAACTCATGCTTTTTGGAGGTCTCTGAATGCTAGTTCTTGGATTAGGCTTTAGAAATATACTATTGAACAAAACAGACCCACCCCTGTTCTCAAGGAGCTTATTTCCTAGTTGAATATTTAGCCATTAAATAAATAATTTTAAACATGGCGAGTTTAATAAGAGACAGGGTGACATATTCATTAAGAACATGAACTCTAGGGCCAGGTGAGAAATATGGCCCTCATGGAGTGATGTGAACCTTATCAAAATAATCTCTTTGAGACTTGATTTCCTCATCTGTAAAATGGGAATAATCAGATACCTCCTTCACAAGGTATTGGAAATGATGAAGTGAGTCCTGCACTATGATAAGGTCCTGCACTATGGAAAGCAGTTAATAAATGTCAGTGATTGTTGCAGTTATAATTATTGTCATTCAGCATCATTTAAAGGAAAGTAGAGAGAAGTTTGTGATGCCTTTACAAGTGGACCTGACAAACTGTAGGGGTTCATAGAAAGCTTCTGTAAAGAAGAAATATACAAGTTGAGACTTTAAATATGAAAGGAATAAGCTTGGCAAAGAGGTGGGAGGAAGGTGTGTGTCCTAGACAGGAAGGACATGCCAAGGGACAGAGATAAGAGGACGTGGAACAATTGAGGATCTGGACAAAGTCTAGATGGACTGGAGGCTGGAGTGATGTGGGGGGAAGTTTAGGAGAGTTGCTGAATAATTGGAGAGCAAACAGTGGGGACTGACAGATTAGAACAGGCCAGAATAGTGAGAGGAGCCCTTTCCCATGCACCACTTTTGCATCTTACGTTTGTACTGAATTTACAGTTTGGGTAGAAGGCAGAGATAAAGGCAAGCCAAGAGACAACATCAAGACAGGAATATTCCAGTCTCTAAGCCATATTCATATTGCAGCTTGGTTTATTGTTTTATATGCTGAGCACACAGAATCAAGCTGATTGTTCATGGTTTGATAGCCTCTGTTCTATATGAAAAGATAATCTACACAGTTGTCAAGTGTTTGTAAAGGGTGTAGTTCTAGGACTTTATGGATACTGCTTCTGTTATAGGTAGTTTCTGCCCTCAAAAAGCTTATCATCTATTTAGCTGAGGAGCTGAAACATCAATATATGTATCATGTAATAAAATGATACAAGGCAGTGGCCTAAATGCTACTGGTGGACCAGACTAGGAGGACATGGAGATTCAAAAAAATATTTTCTTGAGGAGGAACCTGCAGGATCTTATCCCTAAAGACTAGTACCAGTGGCCAGAATTGTCCAATATCATAAGTCTGGTTATGAGGCAATATCCTGGAACAGGAATTGGATGACCAAAGATGTTTTCAAGGAGTGTTTTTTTGTGAGTACAACTGTATTACTAGTTAAGGTGTACTTCAAGAGAACTGAAAATCTTCCATACAGTTGGACCCAAAACAGGATGTAGGTGTAGGACATTGGCATGAAGGAGAGAGTGAGCCCTCTTGGAGCTTATGGAATTTAAATTCAAATTCAAAGTGCAACAATCAGAACATGAGCCAAGATAAGGAGGCAGCAACTTGGAATAGAAGTGGACCACATGGGGCTGGTCAGTGTGTCAAGCTCCTGGACTCTTTCTAAATCTCTTTGTAGGGTATACTACCCTCAGGCTTATTTGGGGAGATAGAAAGGTCATTTGGCCTTTGAGATGCATGAGATAGTTTTGGTGAAAGCCAGGGTATTGCAGAACTTCCATAGACTATGAAGGTAGTATAAGAACTACAAGGTCACCTTAGACATATTACTTTCTTCTCTTGGGCTTCTTCCCAACTCAAGGGCTTTGTGATTGTTGGCGATAGGCCACAGTGACTGTAGGTATCTGTGGACGGTATCTCTGAGTTCACCTATTTCAAGGGCAGATCAATGGGTCATGGCCAAGTTTTCTAAGGACAGTGAAAGTCACTGTGCCTTTTACATTGTCACTTTTGAGTAGTCATTAAAAGGCAGCTGACTGGGGATATATGAGGGACAATTATTCCTGGTACAGTGCAGCCAAGAGTCATCCATTTTGGCCAAATGAGAAGGAACCTAGCAAATTGAAGACATTTGATCTATACATCGCTCAAATTCCAGACGGTTCATCTGATTGTTTTGTTCCTCCACTAATTGTTTTTTGGCTCTGTATTGTTCCTGACACCATGTTCAGAATGAATCAGTGGAGTGTAAAAATGATAGGACTCCATTCTGCTAGCAAAGAAAATAGAGCCTTCCAATGACATTATTTTTCTTTATTGAAACTGATTCCTCAGGGGAGATGCTTTTGAGTATCTTTTATTTATTTTTCATACACTCAACTGACATGAAATCCTAGTATTTTCCAGAAATTGTATTAGATAGGAATTACAAATAAACTGATAGCCCCTGATTTTGATCAAGGGGTTTGTAACCCTTCCTGGGAAACAAAGGGAGATGTGGGGGAAGTCTGACATGCGGTGGGTGTTATGCTACATGTCTGTAGGGGAACAGTAGGGCACACATATGGGAGAGGCCATGTCTATATGGGGGAGTGATGGTCAGAAAAATGGGCCCAGTTTTTTTTTCTTGTCTCTTATTTTTAATAGAATTATAGTCTCTCTATACCTGTTACCCTCAGTATTCACTACAGGCACTTCTGAAGAGCGGTGAAGGCAAAGTGTTTGTTAAGATTATTTATACAGGAGCATGACCCCCTTTGGATCAAGGAATGCTGCTCCATCCACCATAATACCATCAACCTGATCACTCACTTTACCATTTTCTTTATAATCTTTTTCTAGAAGCATTAATCATAATCCTAGAATTCATCATTTGTGATAAATATGATGAGTCTAGGATAGTTGCTAAGACAGTGTGTTCCACCTAGCCCAAACTATGTCCCATGCTTGGAATTCATAGAAGGGTCAGTCTCTTGTTATTGCTGGTCCCACAGCAGGAACAGTAGTGTTAGAAGAAGTACTTGTTTATATAAAATAGGTAAGATGCTGAAAACTGGTATTTAGAGAAGCAGAATTGGAGATGGCCTAGTTCAGATCAAAATAGCCCAAGAACTCAAAGTGAGCAAGCAGTTCAGTCTAAGAGATGACTTCAAGATCAAAGTTGTCAGCCCACAACAAGGGAATAAAGCAAGAGAACTAGGAAATATATATGTTAGACTGAGGTTAATTTGTATGAGTATTTTTCTCTTAGAGTAAAAATGGATGACTCTTACTTGTGTCCTCAGAAGAGTGCTCTACTGCCTGTGAAAATGAGCAACTCTAAATCTTGACATATAACAATTATCTTGATGTCATATTTAGATTTTTCAGCATGATCTGATACTATTATAAGAAGATGTAGATATATCTACCCATTCCGGTTGTTCAGCTGTAGCTATTTTGGTTTGTTATTCATAGTGAAGTGGGAAATGTCTCCATGACCTAAAAAGCAAAAGCCTGTTTTAGCTACTGAATACCAATCAGTTTGGTTGAAATGCTGTCATCTGCTGGATGACCACCTGCCATCCTGTGGAGCCCTGTTGTACAGAGGAAGCATTCTAGCTTGTCTATGTGAAGGATATAAGATAAATTTACCTGAGATAACATAGGCATCTTCTCCTTGCCAGTGTAGCCAAATTGTTTCGTTCCCTTGATGGGAGCCAAGTGTCCATAGGCAAGGCTATGGATTTGATTTATTTGTGGACGATTGAGCTTCAATTTGAGCTGCAGATTCTATCCTTTTTTTCTGGATGGCTTTTTCTGAATGCCATCATTTATTTAGCAAGAAAGAAAATAGGACCCAGCACAAGTTCATCTCTATGGCAAGGAAAATAATCCACAGTACAGCGCTGAGAGTCAAGATTGCCTAGTGCTTAGTGCCATGGATTTTAGAGTCAGATGGAGCTTGATTGCTGTGTTGGTTCTGTCACTTACTAGCTAGATGATTTACAACTACTTTCTCTCTTAATTCTACGTCTTAGTATCCTTATCTGTAAAATGGGGACACTAATACTTACTAGGTAAGGTTTTCTTGGTTGCAAGTTACAGAATGGACTATAGCTAACAGAGTCAAGTAGGAGGATTTGCTTCATGATTACCAAGAGGGGTGCCAATCAACTGAAGATCTCACTAAGTATATCTTACAAAGGAAGAAGAACCACTCTGGGGACTCCAAGGCACTGCAATTGAAATGATTAATCTCTCCTGACCTCTAGGTTCTGGACTTTTCCATTCAGAGTTTATATTTTCTGGAAAGAGAACCTACTTGGCCTAATTTGGTTCACCAGTCAGCTCTGTCTGCGTAGGCAGTTACCTAGAATAGATATAAAGGATCACCCATGTGTGCCTTTATATATACAAACACAAAGCATGCTCTTTCATCCTTAAATGGGTAAACTCGGGGTACCCTCACCCATATGGCCATGTCCTATTACAGATGTCCAACCATGTGCAACTACTTCTATCTGATAAAAGAAAGTATTTCCAGGGATCATGGGAATGCAATGTCTTTGAGAATATTAATTTGTAGAGCCAAGAAGATGTGATGGAGAGGTAAATCTACTCTTCTCACTGGTCTCCAGGATTCCATTCATCTGACATAAATACAAGCTGAAAACCAAGAATGAAAGATATTTTGAGTTCTCTCCAATGACTCT